ATCCTGACAATCTCTCTTTAGAGCATCCTCAGGATCCTCAGATACCACTTGGGAGCTTGAAACTGCTAGTCTAATTAGACAAGCAATGAATTATAATTGAAAACTAGGGCAACTAAGTCTGGAGATCTAATGCACAAGCTTGATGACTATACTTAGTTGAATATAATACTATATTCAATGCTGAAATTATTCTAAGAGTAGATTTCAGGGGCACTCATCACACATAAAAAAAATGCTATGTGAGGAGATTACAGGTTAGCTTGACTGTAGTAATGGTGTGTAGTATATCAAATCATTCTGTACGCCTTAAATGTATACTACTTTAATTTAGAGATATATGAATAAATAAAAAACAAATACATAAATATTTTCAGTATATATTTTTAAAAACCATGGAGAGACTCTATAGGTCTTCAAATGTAGCTGCACGTAGAAATCTACTGGGGGGCCTCCCCTGGTGGCGCAGCGGTTGAGTGCTGGGCTGCGAAGCTGCCCTCAGCCTCTGCAGCGCCAGTTCAATCCCCAGCCACTGGGAGAGGGTCCCACATGGCACAACAGACCTCTCCTGCTGCTCCCCTCAGCAGTGTATTTCGTCGGTCTTCCTGTTCTATTCCCCGTTCTAGCTCTGGTGAATTCTCTCACCCTCCCGCGCTTCTGACTGTACCCAGTGCTTGTATAAATAAATAAATAAATCTTAAAAAAAAAGAAAAGAAAAAAAGAAATCTACTGGGGAACTTTACAAAATATTCATGCGTCATTTCCAATCTATAGACTGTATTTAAGTTAAATTGCCCAAATAATATCTTTTTTCTTTCAGGACCAAATCTGTTGAGATATTTTATTTACAAAATCACATTTAAATTTTAATAATGGAGCATCCCTGGTGGCACAGGGATTAAAAACAGTGCTATCAAGCTACTGCCAGCCAAGCTATCCCCAGTCAGGGAGCAACCCACTTGGCACAGCAGACCTCTCCTGCCTGGCCCACTGCACCCCTCAGCAGTGTATTTCAGTAGATCTGCCTGTTCTACTCCCCACCATGTCTCTGGTGAATCCTCTTACCACCACCCCCACCTCTGGCCTACACCCCAGTTTTTCTCTGCATAAATAAATTTAAAAAACACACAAACAAAAAACCAAAATGCCATTAGATGACATAGGTTTGTTTGCCAACATCCTTGTAAGACAAGCCAGTCTTATAAGCTTTGAAAACCTGCTCTTCCACATAACCTTTTTCCTGTAACACTTAGCAGGTATTAAAAAACTCTTCCACAGACTCCTGATTTCTGCAAGCTTAGCAATTTAAAAACTGTGAACTCAGACTCTAATTCAGCTGCCATAGTTAGTTGTAATTTTGGGCAAATCACTTAGAAGTTGTTGTAATTTTGTGCAAATCAATCTCAAATTCTGAAAGGAAAAATACATGGATGAGAATACTTCCACGTTTCCACATACAGAGTTCAATATTTTTTAAAAAACAAAGGGGAAAAAAGTCCTTGTAATTTTTAAATCTCACAGCACCACCTGCTGGTCAAAGAGAAAAGGATATGATACAGAAAAGGGTTTATAGATGTGTCCAGCTGCTTTGTTTATTTGAATAAAAATTTGGCATTTTCACCTACTTTATCTTTGATATCAGATATACATAAGTGCTTTTATATACATATAAAAGCAACTATTCAAGTCACGATACTTAAAGTCACACCCAGTATAAAATTCCTTGAACATGATCATCTGTAATCAGCTATTATGCTTTGGTTTAAAAAACAAACACTACTGAACAATTAAAACAATTACACAAAATAAAAATATACTTCATTAGACAAAAATTTCCCCATCATATTAAAATTATTCATATATATTTCTTAAAGATTTATTTTATTTATTTCTGCATGGAAGAACTGGGGTGTGTGGGGGGGGCGCATGTGTGTGAGAGGATTCTCCAGAGACAGAGTGGGGAGCAGAAAAGGCGGATTGACTGAAATACACAGCTGAGGGGAGCAGCGGGTGAGACAGGAGAGGTCTGCTGCACCATGTGGGTAGCTCCCTGGCCACTGGGGATAGAAATCGTGCTGCAGAGGCTGCAGATAGCTTTACAGCTCTGTGCTTAACCCCTTGTACCACCAGGGAGGCCCAAGTTCATTAAATTTTTAAGGAGGAATGAAATATTTAAATTCCATTTGATTAAAAGGAAAAAGTTCTCGTGCCTCCCTGATGGTGCAGGGATTAAAGTCTCAGCTCTATCAAGCTATCACTAGGCCACTGCAGGATCAGTTGGATCCCCAGGCAGGGAGCAACCCACATGGCACGGCAGACCTCTCTTGTCTCGCCTGCTGTTCCCCTCAGCAGTGTATTTCAGTGAAATACAGAAATACAGAACCACCAGTTCTGCTCCCCACTCTGTTTCTGGTGAACCCTCTTGCCCCCTGCACCTCTGGCCTGCACCCCAGTTTTTGTATGCATAGATAAATAAAAATAAATATATTTTTTAAAAGTTCTCTTCATATTTTCACCAAGCTGTGTTCAAACCATGAACATCAAAGAGAAAGGTAATATCAGATTTATGGGCAAAAACATCAGAAAACTGCAGGCACAAGAAGAAAATGGAGACTACATTTTTTTCAAGCAACCATGAAACATACATTAGATTAATAGAGAGTAGGCCAAAGAGAAATTATCCATTTCAAAAGGCAGAAATATTATGATTTCTGATTACAATACAGGGCAGCTAGAAGTTAATTACTAAATAAAAAAAATCACTCACTTTGGAGATTAAAAACTGTCTCAGATGTTTCTGTGAGTCAAAGGGGAAACAGCAATCAAACTTGGACCATGAGGTGACATTAAATAGCTGGCCTGGTGGGATCATTGTGTGAATCAGAAAGGTGTTCCTCCTTCAAGTACACAAAAAGACCAAAGCTGCGGTGCCTGTGGGTAGGCCCTAGATGATGGCTCTGAGCCCAGCGGCCTGGAAAATGAGCATGAGGCTCAGGGAAATTAAAGCAAAACTGAGTTGGAAGCTGTGAAAGAAAAAAAAAAATTCTATAAAGGGAAAAAAAATAGAAAATGAGTTTTCCCTTAGGAGTGGAATCAACAAGGTAGTGAAGTATTTGCTAGCAAGATTTTAAAGATCAAGAAAAAAACTCACATATATTTTCTTTGATTTACCATAATACTGTCAATGTCCTGACCTCTAAGGACAAAAAAAAAAAAAGCACTGGTTTTAATAAATTCCAGCTACTTTTCTATAATCTAGTGTAGGATTTAGCAGTTTCGTATACTTTAAATTGTGCCAGTTTTAACAAATTATTTTGAAAAGTAATGATTAAAATTTTATATCACCTGCTGTAAATGATTCAGGAGCAAACTAAGCTTGTCTTAAAGGATGCATTAAAAATCAAGAAAAGGTTTTCCCTGGTGGCACAGTGGTTAAAGTCTCAGTGTTATCAAGCTATTGCCAGCCACTGTGACCTGAGTTGGATCCCTGGCCAGTGAGCTGACCCACATGGTGCAGCAGACCTCTCCTGTCTTGCCGGTTGCTCCCCTCAGAAGTGTATTTCAGTAAATTTACCTGTTCTACTCCCTACTCTGTCTCTGATGAGTCCTCTCACCATCCCCACCCTCCCGTACCTCTGGCCTACACCCCAGTTCTTCTATGCATAAATAAATAAAAAATAAACCTTTAAAAAATCAAGAAAAGCTCCAATTTGTGATTGTATTGTTAAGGGATTTTTTGGAGAATCTCTTTTTTACTGAAGTGGAATATTTTCAAATGGAATGATTGCGACATTTTTTTTTAATTTTTTTTATTTTTATATTCCCCATACAATTGCGACCCCCTTATTTTGACCCCAATCCCTCCCGCCCCGCCCCCCACCCCCCATAGAGTGTCTCTGGTTCGTAGTTGTTTGTTGATTTTGATTTTTACTTTCTTAGAGTTATTCTTTTTCGTGGTCCCTTATTTAAGTTTTCTAGATTCCTGCTATGAGTGAGACCATCCGGTATTTTTCTTTTTCTTTCTGGCTTATTTCGCTGAGCATGATCCCTTCCAGCACCATCCATGTTGCTGCAAATTGCATGTGTTTATCTTTTTTGAATGCTGAGTAATATTCCATGGTGTATATGCACCACATCTTCTTGATCCAGTCATCTATTTTTGGGCATTTGGGTTGTTTCCAAAGCTTAGCTATTGTAAACAGTGCTGCTGTAAACATAGGGGTGCAGGTGCTCTTTGGAATTGATGTTTCTGTGTCCTTTGGGTAAATACCTAGGAGTGGAATTGCTGGATCATATGGAAGCTCTATGTTTAGTAGGTCCAGAAATCTCCACACAGCTCTCCATAGTGGTTGGATCAGTTTGCACTCCCACCAACAGTGCAGGAGAGTTCCTTTTTCTCCACAACCTTGCCAACATTTGTTGTTGCTAGTTTTTTTAATATGTGCCATTCTCACTGGTGTAAGATGGTATCTCATGGTAGTTTTGATTTGCATTTCCCTGATGACAAGTGATGTTGAACATTTTTTCATATGCCTGTTGGCCATTTGCATTTCCTCTTCAGAGAAGTTTCTTTTTAGCTCTTCTGCCCATTTTTTGACTGGATTATTTTCTTTGTTTTTCCCTAACATAAAAAAAAGTGTAGCAATTTGGGGATTTATTTTACATGGGTAGTTTTCTTGTACAGCAGAGTCTCTCTGCTGTAAGCTAGGAAGCCTCCCCAGGAAAATGCCTGTCAGTCACACACTTAAGTTGGACTTGTGGGTGCTGGGAATGAGGTAGGAGGTAACTGATACAGCTAGAATAAAATGAACGAAAACCTAGAAAAGTCAGGGGAGGAAGGACTGTCATACAGATCTTTCTGGGATGAGGAGTAATTCAAAGCTGATTTTGATGCTTAAGTCACTGGGGAGGGAGGGGGTGTTTAAGAGACTTCTATTGTGACACAAAGGAAACAGAGACTGGGGATAGGTCACAGGTTGCAGTGACAGAATAAAGACCGTTGCTAGGGTCAGGGAATTAACACCAGAAGGCAGTTGGAGAGATGGAGACCTAGAGCCTCTTCCCCTTCCCCATTCTCCCTCCCCCTTCCAGGCTGACATGTCACCTTCCACCTAACATCATCTTCCATCTAAACAGCATCTTCCTGGTTTCAGATCACAACTCTGGCCTCTGATTTCTGCTTAGTTCCACATTCACTACCCATTTGCAAAGAAAACTATCACCTCCTCCTCCTCCTGGAATTGCTCAGGTTTTCTGCATTCTTCGTGCCCTGACCACCAGTCCTATTAACTCCGCTGAGATGGAGGCACCCACACTCTTCGAAGCTTTTAAGCGGACTCCTGAGCTCAGTCAAGAGTCTTTGGACCCCAGGATTATCATTGCGTTGTTTGGAATTGACTCACCTCCTTCTATCTCCCAGAGTTTTCTTCCTTCTCGAAAGAATAGTGGCCATCCAGCAATTGAAAAACAGACTACACAGAAGTTTAAAACTCTCTTAAAAGAAATTAAAGATGTTCTGAAAAGTATGGCATGCAGTGAAGAGAAGGACATAAACACAGAATGTTCTGAGGAAACCAATATTCCTGAGGATGTGTCAGTACTTAAAGAAAAAATCAGAGGACTTGACAAATTAAATAAAGTGTTATTGAAAAACCTACTTGGCGATGTAGACTCAGAGAAAGAACCAAACACAAAGAAACAGGAGATGATATTGAAAAACCAGATCTCCAAGGACTTAGTACAAGTTTTTGCAAGACATTTGGTTAATTGTTCGGAAGTAAAAAGAGTCCTTAATGAAACTCAACTAAATAAGGAAAAAGTCAAGTGCAGATTTCCATGTGTTCAAGAAGAAAATATCAAACTGAGATACAACATGGAGCAGTTACTACAGGAGGCAGATCACTGGAGTGTGCAACATACTGAGCTCAGTGAACTAATAAAATCCTATCAGAAATCTCAGAAAGACATCAGAGAGAAACTTAAAAAGAATGGCGTTCACCTCCAAACTCAACCAAATAGTGTGGCGTCATCTAAACAGGAACTGGAGGAACAAGTAAAGAAGCTGAAACATGACACATATTCATTGCACTTGATTGCAGCTATGCTGGAGAATGAATGCCAAATGTTAGAGCAAAGAGTAGAGATTTTCAAGAAACTTCATCAGAAAGAGGGAGATTTGCAAGAGAAGTTTAATCAGACAAACTCCGAACAGGGCAAGAAGGAACAGAAACTATTTGAAACAGAGAGGGAAGAAATGCATAAGCAGAAAATACAAGAAATGGAGGGTACATGTCACAAAAGAGACAAATTCTTTAGAAACCTAGACTCTTGTCGTATTAAGAAAGCTCGTAACAACCGGTTCAATAGTCGCATTGCAAGAAGAGCACTTTTGGGGAAAAAGAGGCCAATCACTAGCCTACGATAGAAAAATAACCAAAAGTAGAAGTAAAGGCAATTCCTCAAAAAGGTATAATACATTCAACCCCAATCATGATCATCAACCCTAGGATAAATCTCTGGGTTTCAACCAAGAAAATGCTATCGAACAAAAAGATTGACACATTATTCATTACCTCAGTAGTTACATAAGATTGGTCTCTAGTGACCATTAACGTCAACCTCTAGTTCATAACCTGTCACCTCTACATTTGTTTGTTTTATGCTGTTATTCGAGACTCTGATACTTAAACTTATAGTACAAAGTTACAAGTCATATTAAATAAAAATTAAAAACTAAAATGAACAAAGGCTGTTTTTTTTTTCTTTATTTAATCATTACCTGAGGTGGGGTTCTGGGGGAAAAGAATATAACACTTTCATTGTGAACCTTTAAAGGTCACTGTCTAAATGCCTGTTTTCTTTCTCGATTATTCATGTGTGGGAAGTGGTAGAATAAAAAATGAAGGTGGTAGACTACCCCTGAACAAACCGTTTTTCTCTTCCCATAAGTTTCCCCATCTCCTGACTCCACTTTTCCTGACCTTCCTCCCTTGTTCCTCAGTGGTGGGCATACTGAGCTTCAGAGGCTTTTGGGAAAGGACATGCTGCTTGCTTGGAATTGTTCTGTGCTGGAACAATTCCTCCCATTCCTCCAGATGGAAGGCAGTAGAGTTACCCTCAGTAAAAATAATATCATCTGTTAAGGGAGATGGACTTCTTTCTCTTTCCAGAAAAGATAGAGTAGATGCATTTCTCCCTACTCCTCCCATTAAGTGAGCTTAAAAACCCTGGGTATTATGTATTGAATAAACATTAGACTGAAAGAGAGGGCCTCCCTGGTGACTCAAGGAGTTAGGCATAGCACTGTGAAGCTATCCACAACCTCTGCACACAAGTTCCATCCCTAGCTGGCCAGGGAGCTACCCACATGGCACAGCAGACCTCTCCTATCTTACTTGCTGCTCCCCTTAGTGGTGTATTTCAGTCTGCCTGTTCTGTTCCCCACTCTGTGTCTGATGCACCCTCTCACGCCCCCACATCTGTGCCCTGTACCCCAGTTCTTGTATGCATAAATAAATAAATAACTGAAAGAGAGAGACCAGGGTCCCTGAAACTTAAGGAACAGCAAGGTGTTGAGTCCCTGGGTTTTCCTTCTGTCTATGTCCTAAACAGAGTGCTGGTGGAGTCCACGACCCAGAAATGCCAATGTGTTTAGACAAACAGCCTTCATAAAGTCTCACTTTTTTTTTTGACAAAGATGAGGAAAAGCAAGTCTGGCAATATAGAAAGTTTTTGACCAAAACGGCCGTACTTTAGCCAAACTGCATGCCCTGCCTCCATTTTTATCCCTAATCAACAAATACAAAGTGGAGAGAGCCTATATTTTCACCCTTGCCTGACTGGTAATGAGATGCTTCTCCCTATCTCTGCTGGAATGGTGCAAAAGAGGTGGGAGTGGGGGGTGAGGCAGGGGGTACCCTGAAGTTCAACCCCTGCCTGATGGTAACAAAATGATCCCCTCTGATCCTCTTCTTTCCCATTGGGATGGAATATCAGTGTGGGGCACTAGGGTAGCTGAGATTTACACCCTTCCCTACCGGCACAGTATTGTAAGAAACCTGCTAGAACAGAAGATTTAAATAAGATCTAATGTCTCCCAGCATACATAGAGAAATCACCCACCATACCAAGAACCAGGAAAATCTCAACTTGAATGAGAAAAAAAATTAGTAGATGCCATCAGTGGGATGATGACACAGATGTTGGAGTTATCTGACAGGAATTTAAAAGCAGTCATTATAAAAATGCTTCAGTGAATAATTACAAACACACTTGAAACAAACAATAAAATAGGAAGCCTCAACAAAGAAATAGAAGATTCAAAGAAAAAATGGAAATTATAGATATATTGAGAGGAATAAGTACAATAAATTCATTGGATGTGCTTAATAGTAGAATGTCGATGTTAGAGGAATGATTCCATGAACTTGAAGATGAGATAATAGAAATTACTCATTCTGGGCCTCCCTGGTGGCACAAGGGGTTGAGCACAGCACTGCGAAACTGGCCGCAGCCTCTGTGGCGCAATTTTGATCCCCGGCCAGGGGATCAAACCATTGACTCTCCCGCTGCTCCCCTCAGCAGTGTACTTCAGTCTATCTGCCTGTTCTGTTACCCGCTCTGTCTCTGGTGAATCCTCACACCTCTGGCCTGTACCTCAGATATTGTAATCATAAATAAATCCTCAAAAAAAACCCTCCCTTAATGGGCCTCCCCTGTGGCGCAGTGGTTGAGCGCTGGGTTGCGAGACTGCCCATAGACTCTGCAGCGCCAGTTCGATCCCCTGCCACTGGCAAGGGTCCCACAAAAATAAATAAATAAATAATAAAAAAATAACCTGTGAGATCGGTATCTCCATTAACAAAAAAAACTCCCTTAAAAAAAAAAAAAAAGAAATTACTCATTCTAAACAAGAGAGAAAATAGATGGAAAAAAGTCAAGAATCTGTGGGACAGTAGCAAAAGATTTGGCATTGGTGTAAAAAGGGATAGAATATGGGCTGAAAAAGTAATCAAAGATAAAAATCACTGAAAAACTCTGCGAGTTAGTGAAAAGCAAAACTTACAGATACAAGAAACCTAGTAAACTCCAAATAGTATAGACATAAAATTCAAGACACTCAATCATATTTCTGAAAGTTAGAGACACAGTAAAAATCTTGAAAGGACAGATTGATCCAAATGGCAGAAAATGTGTCATTTAGAAACCATGGAGACCAGAGGAAGTGAACATTTTTCTAGAATTGAAAGAAATATCAACCCAGAATTCTTGAACTAATGGAACATCTTTTAGGAATGAAGATGAAATTAAGCCAGTCTCAGATAGAGGAAAACAGAGAATTTACTATACTAGTTACATAACATTTTCTCACATTCAAGAAAATGAGTGACCCCTTTAGTCTCAGATTTTATACTATTATATTTCATGTAAGAATTTCACACAGGTGTTAAATGAATGACTGAAATAAAGAAACGACAACATCTCTGAGCCATCACTTCTTGTATTTTAGCTTGTTCTTTTGCATTACAAATTATAACAGTGTCATTTATCTGTCAAAGGTTTAGTGGCTAAATCCCCATTTGCTAAAATGTGCACTGAGGCATTCCTGGTATCACAACAAACTCACAAAAGAGCTGCTAGATTTTTATGTTTTGGAAATGTGTGACACCTTTTGCACACTGAACAAAATCAAGGTAATATCGACTTCAAATTAGATCAAATACAGCACCATACCCAGCAGTGAAATTTCCATTGATGAGAATGTAGTCACAAGATTACATCTACCTGAAAGTAATTGGGAAATGAAGTTTTTTGTTTTTGTTTTTTTGTTTTCTTTTGCTGGGAAACCACATAGAAGGAAGAATTAATTTTTGGGACACTGTAAAGTATAGAGAAAATATTTTTATATTTCTGCACAGTAAGGATTTTCAAGCATAGTTTATGGAAATAAGTTTCTAGACTAAAAACAAGCTCTAGAAGATAATTTATGACTCAAAAGATTTATCTAATTATGAGTAAAGTTATCTCCTGGAGAGATTTATTTACATTCAAGAAGAGTTAGAGAGAGAACCCAGGATCCTTTCCATCTTATCTTCCAGAAGCAGAGCGTTTCTCCTCCTACTATCTGCATGAGTACCTGAATTCATTTTCTCAGGATTTCCCACGTGCTTGCAGGCTGACATCTGATTCTTATTGTATCTCTCCAGGGGTAAGAACTGGAGCCAGGGGAACCAGCATGATTATTATTATGTAAGTAACTATAATCTTTCTCTGGTCCAAAGCCTCATTTATGCATTTAAAACAAATTAAAGATGGGGAAAAAAGGAACCAAAACATCAACAATATCACCACATGTTCTATAATGAACGAAGCATAGCACATACAAAATTTTCATATGTTGAAAGTACAGAAAATACAATACTCTAAAAGCAACATTGCTTTCTTCTGTTTGGAATACATATCACTTTATAAATAATCTAAGAGTCCAAACATTCCTATTACAGCCCTTAGTAGAAAAAAAGATCTCCAGTTAAACAGTACTTGTGTTACTGAAAGAATCACATTTCTTTGCATTTGTTTTTCCTTTGTAGGGAAACTACCACCTACATATTCTATTTCCCAATCATTTTAATTTTTTAAAAGATATATTTATTTATGCATACAAGTACTGGGGTACAGGCCAGAGGTGCAGGAGGTGGGGGTGAGAGGATTCACCAGAGACAGAGTGGGGAGCAAAACAGGCAGACCGACTGAAGTACACTGCTGAGGGGAGCAGCAGGCAAGTCAGGAGAGGTCTGCTGCACCATGTGGGTAGCTCCCTGGCCGGGGATCTAACTCTTGCTGTAGTGGCTGCAGACAGATTCATAGGTTGTGTCCTAACCCCTTGCACCACCAGGAAGGCCCTTATTGCTTTTTTTAACCATAAATTTTATTGCTAATGTGGGAAAGATTTCCTTCCATCCCCAAAATGGACATGCTGATCTGGAGAGCTCTAGGAGTCTCCCATGCCCAGAGGAGTGGCCAGGTACTAGACAGGGGCGCTTTGCAATCCCTGAGTCTAGTTAACCTCTCTCTCTCAACAGAGGGTAGCTGCTTCCACCTCGTTCCTCTCATCAGCTATTTCCTTAAAAGCAAAACAAAACAAAAGCTTTCACTATTAAAAAAATAAAAACTCTACATCTCAAGTATGCAGAGAGGAGGGTGAACTGGAATGGGACAAGAGGTTTAAGGTCACCAAGAGAATAAGGGGGGGCTGGAGGGAGTCTTCACTTTCTGCTGCATCTTCTACAACTAGAGTCAACCTCCTCTACTGGCAACTGATGACAGAGAACGCTGAGCTACCAGATGAAGGAGCTCTTTGCCAATGACATGTGAGTTTAGTCCTTAGAGTTTGTGACATTGGTGTCAGTTTGATGTGGCCACACTGATCCACAGAATGGTGGGTTCCACAGATGCTCAGATAATTTTTGAGTTCCACGACCACATCCTTGTGTATAAGAGACTTGAAAAAGGAAGAGTGTGGTGTTAGCTGCAGGCTGCTGTTCTGACGTAGGAGGTAGGGTGGGGTGCCTGGCTCAGGTAGGGAAGAGTCACACAGGTCAGCTGGAGCGAAGGTTGAAAGTTTCCAGCAATAAAGGGATGGGCAAGGCAGGGCATTATTGCTTTTTAATTAAGTTTCAAATTCAGCCAGCAATCTCTGCTAAATCAGATTTTCTAGATTTAGCATTGACCCTAAC